TTTAATTTAAAAAATCACTGACATAAAATATTTTATTTTTAATTAAAATAAATTTCATCAATAATCTTTTTTAAATGCAAATAATATTTTTGTATATTTATTTCATTTTATAAATATAAGTACTTTTTTTGTTTAAAAAATGTTTAGGGATTCAAAATATGAAAGTCTATTGACTTTTTTCAGACTTTTTCTATTATTTTACTATATTAACCAGTTGTATAGGTCATAAGAATGTATCTAACAGGTTTTGGAATGTTCAAGGAGTTATTTAATAAGTTTTGAAATGTCCAAAGACTTATTTGTTTCAAAAAATTATTCAAAAACTTAATCATTTCAAACACTAAACTCCATTGGGTTTTTTAGACTTTCCCCCTTTTTAAAATATAGTATCAAAAGTTAAAATCTCTAAAAAATTACATCCATTTTCAATAACTAATCTATTATAACAATTATATCACTAATTATATTATTAAAATATTCAGTATATTCAATAAAATATTATTTCTATATTCTATACATTTAAAATATCTCTCTTATTACAAATTTGGAGACTCTACAGGGTTGTTTGTTTACTTCTTAATAGTTCCAATAATAGGCAACATCTAAATCGTTAAGAAGTGAATCTTGTTTGGCAAAAAAAAAAGTCTGCTTCTTAATGGTTCTAAAACCCTTTGAATGATTTTGTATCATGGATCTCCCTTAACCATTAAGAGCCTTAATTTCATTGTACACAATTACCAAACAATATATTTCGTTTTGCACTATATCATGAGAGTCTCTTAGGGCCTGTTTGTTTTTCAAAAAAAATCACTTAATTGCCTCTAATGTCTGAATCGGTCAGACGTAGAGGGATTAAGTGCGTTTGTTTTTTTTTTTAAATTAAGTGCTTAAAACATCTGATTATGTCTGATTTATTTAGAGGTAAAATAGAGTCTGAAAACCTCTTAACGCGTCCATCTCTCTCTCTCGCCTACGCAGTACACGCTCCCTCTCCATCTCTCTCTCGCCTTCGGCCCTCTCCATCTCTCTCTTGCCTGCGTAACTCTCCGCCTGCGCCTACCGTCTTTGCAAAAAAACAAACGCGTCGTCTTCTACCTCTCGATCGGATGCACTGCCTCCTCCTTCATCTACCTCCTAGGGTTTTTCGGCATCGATTTCGTTCAATCCTTCGGAATCGAAGCTTGGGGACTGCCTTAGGGCTACTTCGATTCGACGGCAGGCGTTGGAGAGGACGACGGGGAGGTCGTTGTTAGGGTTGCCATTGGAAGGATTCATATCTTGCCAACCTTTGCGTCTTTAAGAACCAACCCCTTTCACTTACGTTTACTAAGATACAGAGAAATGGAAACCTCCTCGAGATCAACACCCCCTTCCAACAAACCCTATTTTCAAGATTCTGAATGCCCAGATCTTCAATCTCCAATCGATTGCGAAAAGGGATCTGGGTTCTACAAGAACGAGGATTCATGGCCAAAAACCCACATGCAGAGAAAGAAGAATCATGTATTTCTTGAAGGGTATGTGGATGAAGAAGAACTCGTGAGAGCCAAGAGTTTAACGGATGAAGATTTATTGGTTGTTTGGTTGCGAGTACAAACAGGGGTTGCAAGGCTATAGATTTCTCTTTCTGGAAGACCCTATCAATTTTGATACTTTCAGCGTTTTGAATATTGATTCCGGAAGAAATTGCGACACAATTACAAAATGAATATTGATTTTAGTTGTTATGAGACTTTATTCGTGTTTTCTATTGTGTTTTGAATCAATTGACGTATTTCAATTGAATGTGTTAAAAGTATATGGTAGTTTACAAATGGTTTAAATGATTGGATATTTCAGTTAAATTTAATTGAAATGAATTGATTCAGATTTCAGACGTAAAAACAAACAGTCTGACTGATTCAGATTTCAGACTTCAGCACCACCTCTTAAAATTCAGAAGTGAATTCAGACTTCAGACTTCAGCACCTCTTAAAAAACAAACGCCACCTTAATCATTTTGATCACTTAATCATTTTGCACCAAATCATTCAGCAATTGTCAAATAGCCCCTACATTGTCTTTTCTTTTCTCTATTTTAACGTAAGTTATAACATGCCTCTTGGAGCAAAAAATTCTTTAAAACCACCAAATTTTTTATTTTAACATAACTGTTGGAGATATTCTTATATTTAGGGGGTGTTTGGGATTGCTTATTTGAAACAACTTATGTTTTTCTACAAAAGTTCTTATCAATTTATTATAAGTTAGAATGGTTTAACTTCTTCAAAAACTTCTTATTACCGGTTTGGCACCGGTATAAGCTGTTTATCCAAACACTCAAAAATGCTTATTACCGGTACCACACTGGAATAAGTCAATAAGTTGTTTTTTTAAGCAATACCAAATACCTCTTACTAAAAAGACGTAACTTTACTACATTGAAACACATGATTTTACTAAAAAGATGCTATTAAATATTTTAACACAGTCGAAAAATAGACTGTTTTACTCATGAACAATGGCAACAACTTGTTTTCCTACATTTTTGCCAGTAAACAAGCCAACGAGGGCGGCTGGAGCGTTCTCAAGGCCTTCTACTGTGTCCTCAATGTATGTTATCTTTCTTTCTTGAATAAGAGGCAACATCGTTTCCATGAACCTAGGATACAAGTGATAGTGATCGATAACTATAAATCCTTGCATTCGGATGCGTTTCATGAGAAGGAAGACGAGGTTATATATGCCTTCATGTCGATCAAGGTTATATTGTGAGATCATCCCACAAACCGCTATGCGACCCTGAAGTCTCATGTTGGGTAGTACTTCATCGAGCATCTTTCCTCCAACGTTCTCGAAGTAAATGTCAATACCATTCGGGAAATACCTGAATCAACGACAATTAAGAAGAAATTTAACAGTTAATCACAATTTTGCTATTACGCTTTTATTGATAATTAATTAATAATGTCATTAAATTTTCATATGATAGAAATTCTGACCTTTTTAAAGCGGCACCGAGGTTTTGCTCTTCTTTGTAGTTGAATGCTTCATCAAACCCGAACTTGTTCTTAAGTAGATCAACCTTGTCAAATGAAGAAATTATACCAAAACCGAATAAAAAATACTGATAAATCATCACAAATAAATCTAAAATAATGTTTTAGGCTGCATTTATTTATGGGTGATAGTGACATAATTTACTCGATTTTGCTCAATTTTCACCTTTTCTTTGGATCCGGCACTTCCGACAACGTAACAACCGTAGAGCTTAGCAAATTGCCCAACAAGTTGACCAACGGCCCCGGATGCCGCTGACACGAACACAATGTCTCCTTTCTTTGGTGAACAAAATTCGTAAAAACCAACATAAGCAGTCATGCCAGCCATACCTACACCATACCCATATTCATATGCGATTAGAAAATGAGAAACTCTTTTAATCTCTTTTAAAAGAGCCCTTATAACGAGAGAGGATATATATAAATATGCGTGTGTATATATTTATGCATATATAAATATAATAATTTGTGTCTAGCTGATACAGGACTCCAACACAAGAAACATACAAGATTTGAACAAGAATACGTAAAAAGAATTCATATAAATCAGTTTACCGAGGATTCCAATGTGATAGGAAAGAGGAACATCTGTATGTTGAATCTTTATTAAAGATTCGGGATTTGTGATCAAGCTATATTCTTCCCAATTAGTGGATCCTGATATCAAGTCGCCTTTCTTGAAGTCAGGGTGAGTCGAATCCAAAACCTCTGCGACTCCATATCCAGATATTGGCTATAGAAAATAATGGTCCGGTTTAAAAATCTCATACCCTTTTCGTTAATCTATCAAAAATTATTTAAAGGTCAAAAAAGCTTTGTATTATAGCAAGTGATCAGGACATACCGAACCAGGAACAAACGAATCGACGTACGTTCCTTCAAAAGGCTTGCTCATGCGGCCTCTCATATAGGGATCACATGACAGATAAAGATTTTTCAATAAAACTAGACCACCATCGTCTTTTGGTAGCTCCAAACAGATGGTGGCATCAGAAGTTACTATCATGTCAGATTCTTTCGGATATCCGTTCACGTAGTCTTTGAATATCACCTGTTTGTTTCTCACCACCACCACCTCCGACGATGATTTTGCCACCTCTGTCATTTTATGTTCTATCGGTTTTTTTGTACGAACATGATCCATATACAAATATATATATATATATATATATATATAAATGTTTATTGTTTGAAATGTAGTATATAGTTAGGTAAGCAGGCCAACAATCGTTGCATCCAAGAACGTTGAACATCTATTTCTTTAATATTTGTGTCCCTTTTGTTGTGTTTGATTTATTTGTTTATGATACGTAATTTATTATGAGTTAGAATTAAAAAAAGGAAATGTTAAAAAAATTCATTGATTAATTTTTTAAACTATTTTTTTATAAATTAATGTTTAATATTTCTAGAGTCGAATAAATAAATTCTTAAACTTTTTAAAATAAAAAACCCAATAAACTTTTTTATTTTAAATAATTAAGGGGCTGTTTACTTAAATACTTACCCACGGTAAATGTTCGCCGTTATGAGTCAACACTATAATTTTTTTTGTAGGTAAGGTTGTAGCATATCAAAATGGTATCGTGTGCAACAATATATATGGTAAACGCTTATCCGGATAAGAGTCGTCACCCTTACTTACTGTGTAAGACTCTCTATCCTTATCATCGCTCTTACCAGGTAAGATTCCTGGGTCTTGCCATGTTCGTCTAGTGAGAAAAATTGTTCGATAAACACCTACCGCGAGGGTGAGCTAACTCCAAAAACCCGTCCTCAGTTCGGATTGCAGGCTGCAACTACGGAGCAATGCCGCGTGGAGGTAGAAGGCCCACGGGTCGTGAACTTCTTTCCTTTTGAGTGAGATTTTGAGAAGAGTTGTTCTTTGGAGAGCACAGGAGCAAGTCAGAAAGTAGAACCATCTGATTTGATTCGTTCTCAATAGCCCGGGCAAGCGTTTAGTAAACAACCCCTAAGTTTCTAAATATTTTTTGAACCAAGTCCTTATGCCTATAAAACGAAATTAATATATAGATTAATAATAAAATACAATAAATTAATAAAAAATGATTAAATACCATTTTTATTAACTTTTATTTATTTTTCATATTCGAACGAGAAACATAAGAGAAACTAATAACTATTTATTTTTCAGATTCAAATAACAATAATCGGATCATTAACAAACACCTGTAATTGCTATTTAAATATGAAATAAATAAGGATTAACAAAAAATAGTGCATATTTTCAATATTATTGGTTCGTTGTATATTTTCGTTGATTTGTTGATACATGTCGTTTTATAAGTGTAAGGATTTATTCCGTCAAGCACCTAATCACATGAATATGAAATTTCGTTGGTTTAAACAAGTTCAATGATTTATTTCAGAAAGTTTAAAGATTTATTGGTTCAAAAGATAGTTTAGATACTTAAGCTTTGTTTGTTTTTATATAAAAAAGCTCTTATTAGTCTCTTATATCTGATTCGTTAAGAGGTAAGGTCATTCAGACCGTTTGTTTTTTCCAATTTTTCAGAGCAAGTATGTTTTATTGTACTCTTATCTGGTAAGAGGTAAACCAACATCTCATTTGCCTCTTATTGTTCTTCAAACCCTCAACAACGGCGTTTCTCAATTGATTAACCTTAACCGATCATTTCTCTCAATCAATCCTTACCAAATCAATCCTCACGCCTCTCAATTGATGTATTTTAATAGGATTTAAATGTGTTAAATACGTTAATGACATATTATCATTCAAATGAATGCTAATTATATAATTTAGATGTAAATTCGTAATTAAGATGAATAAATATGAAGACATATACAATTTTTTTTGGAAAATGTTAGGTGAAATTGTGACAACGTTTGTTACGTGAGAGAGAATCAGTAACATGACAATGACATTGACAATAACAAATGTTCTCGGTTTTGGACTTTTCATAACCTACCTCAAGAATTGGTCAAGTCCGGTCCTCAATTTCCCATGTTCAGTTATGACACTATAAGAAACACGATTTTATATCTAAGAGTAAACTATAAATTTTGGTCCTTGTGGTTTGTCAAAAATAACAGTTTTCGTTCATACAGTTTTGAAATTACAAGATGTTCATCATGATTTGTAAAAAATGTCTCTATTTTGGTCCCTCCCTCTACTGGCCATACAAGAATTCCGTTAATGACGGACATTTTTGTCTTTTTATTGTCTTTTATCAATCAAAACCGATTTTACGATTTTGGTCTATGTCGTTTTTGATTGGGTAAAAAACAAAAATATCGATAAATGACAAAAATATCCTTCATTTAACAAAATTATTTAACGGCAGTTAGAGAGAGGACCAGATCTGGACGTTTTTTTTTCCAACCATGATAGTCATGTAATTAGCTTGATGCAAATAAACGAATTTTTGTTCTACGTCTCCGAGCGTAGCACGTGTGTCGCCCAGGGTATAAGGGGCATGATGACTTGACGTCATTTCGTACCAAAAAAGCCTATGTATGAACAAGGATTAATTTTACTTCTAGGTGTTATTTTCGACAATCCATAGGAATATGTAATTTACTATATATCGAATAAATAAGTTTTACTTGCTACAATATAAAAGTTATAGTTTCTTTTTAAATCTTACATCGAATAATGTAACTTTTGTATGCCATCTTAATTCATAACACATATAGGAAAACAGTTGTTTATCGATGAGTTATGGCAACAACTTGTTTTCCAACATTTTTGCCGGTATATAAGCCAGCCAAAGCAGCCGGAGCGTTCTCGAGGCCTTCGACCATGTCCTCGATGTATGCAATCTTTCCTTCTTGAATGAGAGGCACAATCATATCCAAGAACTTAGGATACAAGTGATAGTGATCGAAAACGAGGAACCCTTGCATTCTGATACGTTTCAAGATAAGTAAATGGAGGTTGTATATGCCTTCAACTCGATCAAGGTTGTACTGTGAGATCATTCCGCAAACTGCTATGCGACCATGAATCCTCATGTTGTTTAGTACTGCATCGAGCATTTCCCCCCCAACGTTTTCAAAGTAGATATCGATACCGTTCGGGAAATACCTAGATACAAAAATAATTAAGTATGAATAACAGTTGATTTCGATTATATTGTCGATGATAAATAAATAGTATCAGAAAGTATAAATCTTGACCTTTTCAAAGCGGCATCGAGGTCTCGCTCTTCTTTGTAGTTAAATGCCTCGTTAAATCCAAATTTGTTCTTCAGTAGATCAACCTTATCAAACGAGGGAAATCATACAAAATATGTGTTATAATAAAAGCTAGAATGACGTTTTAGCACTACAAAAATGGGTTTACATGATGAATAATTTTCCTTCATTTCACCTTTTCTTTCGATCCAACACTTCCAACAACATAACAGCCCAAGAGTTTTGCAAATTGACCAACAAGTTGACCAACTGCTCCAGATGCTGCTGACACGAAAACGAAATCTCCTTTCTTTGGGGAACAAATATTGTGAAAACCAACATAAGCAGTCATACCAGGCATACCTAAACAATGCCCAAATTCATGTAACATATAATATTTAGATAAGAATTATAAAATATGTGGAACCCCATCAGATAACTCTCCAAAAAAACCCTAGAAGGAAAGTTCCAATATATATATATATATATATATATAAAGAGAGAGAGAGAGAGAGAGACTTGGGATCATGTGACACCAAGGGTTTTTTGTGAGACCCGTAAGACCAATTTTTAACCATTGGATTAGATCTACAATACGAACATCCATAATCACAAAATTGCCACGAGACTTCTCAATAATCACAAAATTGTCACCGTGCAACTTTAGACCATTAGATTATTAGCTTATAAAGTTGATCAATGAACATAAATTGGTCTTACGGGTCTCACGAAAAACCCTTGGTCTCACGTGAATCCAACCATATATATATATTAATTATTAAGAAAAATTGTTCAAGTCTAGCCAATATAAAACTCGAACAAAAATAATGTAAAGTTAATCCATATAAACCAACTTACCTAGGATTCCCGTATAATAGGAAAGAGGAACATTATCAATATACTGAATCTTTATCAATGACGTTGTGTCTGTAATCAAACTGTATTCTTCCCAATTAACAACTCCCCATACCAAGTCGCCTTTTTTGAAGTCGGGATGAGTCGAATCCAAAACTCTTGCAACTCCATATCCGCATATAGGCTATAAAAATAACAGTTTATGTGAAAACAAGCCGGTTTTCAACCAATTTTTCATACCCAAACCTTGTTATGAACAGATCCGTTGAAAACCTAGTTATAACCAAAGATTATTTCTAAAAAGCTTGTATCGTTTAAGGTAAGTGAGTGAGACATACCAAACCTGGTGTGAAAGAAGTGACGTAAGTTCCCACAACGACATTGCCCATACGATTTCTCATATAAGGATCACATGATAGGTAAAGATTTTTCGATAAAATTAGACCGTCTTCGACTTTCGGTAACTCCAAGCGGATGGTGTTATCAGAAGTTACGACCATGTCAGATGGTTTCATATACCCGTTCACGTAGTCTTTCAATATCACTTGCTTATTTCTTACCACCACCGCCTCTCCCATTTGTGATATATGAATTGTTAGTGATTAAGTCGTCTTCTATATAAAGATGAAGAATATATATAGAGAGAGAGAGAGAGGAGCGATCAATTGCAAACCATCCTTATTTGTGAAAACCTTACAAACCAATCTCATCCATCAATTTTCTTGATCAATGGTCAAGATTAAATATGTTTATATTGATAATAAAAAAGGAAATAAAAATAAAAGTTTAATTTTTAATTAAAAAAAGGGCAAAATTGTCAAAATTTTAATTTGTATGATTTTGTAAACAAAGGTAACAAGATTGTGGATATCCTAACATTAATGAAACAAAATCATTGTTTTAAAATCTCTATATATCATTTTATCATTACAAAGATTTTAACCAAAAATATTAGAAATTTGACAAATTATATGTTTGATAAAAATTATTTTCATTTTATGACTAAATATTATAAATAAAATAGCATCCACATTAAAAATAGATCCAAGTAAGGAGCAATGAAACTAGGTATATCCTAATAAATTATGAAACAAAAAAATATATTTTAATTAACAAAAAATAATTAAACTTTTTGAATACTAAATGAAATATTTTGTTTCATTAAATGAATGAATGAAACCGTTTCACCATTTATTTTATGAACTCACGTGACTCCTTGTCACCTACAATGAAAGATGGACCATTTGACATGTAGTAGTGAACGATATATGAAACTATTTCATTAACGGTTATTGAAGTAGGATTAGACTCTTAATAATTTATAATCAAACTAATTTTAAAACAAAAGATATCTTAATAAACGATGAAACATATAAAGAATAAAACATTTTTGAAAATTGAATGAAACATTTTGAAAACTGAATACTTTATTTTCATAAGTGAAACTTTTTCATACATAAAACATTTCGAAATATTAATAAATTAAATTAATCAGTGAAATTGTGTTCATGGTCACTATTGACCATGACATTCATTTCATTACTCAAACTACATATATTTTTTCAATGAAACGAAATCAAATTTCATATTGTAGTGCTTTTACAGTTCATATTTTAATAAGTATAATTTAATAAAATAATAAAACTATTATTGGTAATAAAAAATTATATTAAGAAAAATTGATTTACCATCTTCTATATTTAATGTTTCTATTATTATGTTTCCATAATTAAGAGTAATTATTACATTTCAATATTAACCAGTATACAATCAAATGACTATTATACCTTTACTTATTAAAATTAAAAGGAAAAAAACGAAATTTTTTTATTGGTCGAAAATGGTTTGCATAGTTTTCATGAATTGGGCGGTTTGTAATGTTACCCGTATATATATATATATATGAACAATAATTTGTTAATCAAATAAATAGTATTAATTTTATTTTTCTATCCAAGCCTTTTATTTTTTCTAATAAACAATTGTGGTTAAATAAAATATTATAATCTGATAAAAAAAGGAAACAAATTAAATGGTATTAAATAATGGACGTTTTTGGAATAAATTGTTTTTATTTTTGGAAGATAATTATATTTTATTTTTAAACAACTTCATAGGTGAACCAAAAATTTCAAAGTTTGTATTATTTCTTTGGTTAACAAAAGGAGGGGCATATATATAAAGGGTCGTTTTTTTGTTAACCAATGAAATAGTACAAACTTTGTTAATCGGGGCATTTTCGTCTTTTCCATAACATCCCTTAATTATATCATTAACTTAATTATTTCACCTATGAAATTTCTGGTTTCATCTATGAACTTGTTTAAACTTCCTTAATTATTTCATTCATTTTCTGGTTTTAACTATAAACTTTGGTAAAAAATTTGGAACAAACAAAGTTCATATTCGGAAAACACGTTATGAACTTTTACAAAAATTATTATTTTTCACATATAAATTTAAAATTAAAATGATTCTTTCACTTTCTAGTTTCACCTATTCACTTTATGCTTTTACCTTTAAACAAAAATAAAATTAATATTATTATTGATTATCTTCCAAAAATAAAATATAATTAGATTCTAAAAATAAAAAATCATTTAAATATTATTATTGATTAAAATAATTTATTTCAAAAATGCCTTTCATTTAATACCATTTAATTTATTTCCTTTTTCATCATATTATAACCTCCAATTAACCACAACCATTGATAAAAAAAAAAAAAAAAAAAAAAGTCAAATCAATTAACAAAGTTAATATTATTTAATTGGTTAACACATGATTATGCCTATATATATATATATATATATATATATCGGATGTTTAATTTACAAACCATACAAATCAATCTTAGTTGTCCATCTAATCTAATAAATATTATGATTTTATTTTATTTTCTAATTTAAAGTTATGATCATAATGAATAAAGCTCATTATCTTTCATATATATCTTAATCATAATTAATAATTATTTAGTCATGATAATTAGTCATGATTAATAATTAGTCATATCTCAGTTATAATTAATAAATAATTAGTCATGATAATTGTCCATAAATGTCTCCACTTTTTTCCCTAATATAAGCATTGTTAATGGTTTGTATAGTTTGTTAAAATTAGATGGTATGTAAATGAAATATCCATATAT